ATCCCTCGGCGTCATACCAAAATACGTTAAAAGACGTTGTTACCCTACCTGATTGGCATTATGGGGATAAAACAAGGACTGGTCAGCTCGGAGTCAGAATACTGTGTCTGAGTGGGGTGTCCATGATAAACTGCGGTATGGTATCTCAGTGGGCAAGCACTCTATAAACCCGGTATTTGTCCGGACTAGTACATGCAGCCACGCACACAAGCACGCACGCACGCACATTGAGAAACATCAGAGAGTTTGACTGCATGATCGTTCACGAATATCCCCGCGACGACCCATCCTAGTGAACATGAGGTAGTGCGTCTTTGAGTGACGTAGCTTGTCTTTTGGGTGTACTACTTAATCGGGGGAATTAGAGGTAGCAGCGGTCACGACTGGCTATCACCTTGAAGAACAGAGAAGGCTGCTGAGTTGATGGCGTTTATTCGGTGGAAGCAGAGTGAAGTTTACACAGAGGTACATTTAATTATAATGACACGATAATATGATACGTGTACAACACGTGTTAAGAGGTAGAGTCATATTCATATAATTGTATACATATAATTATAATAATTCGTTACGTATGATCATAATAATACAATCGGCATACAACCGATAATGACATGACTGTAAAGATGTACAATATATTTGTTTAACGGATGGTTATTAAAAGGCATTTATTACGCGAAAATATGTCTGGTAGAAAACAGTCATGCGTAGATATTTTAACAACATACTGTTATAAGAGACAATATAAATACATGTTGGCCGACTCAGTTTTCATTGTTACTAAGTTGCAGGAAAATCATTGCTATGAGTATGTGTCACTGAATGTAGGAACGTACAAGTTATTGACATTGGTACACATACTCATAGTAGGATGTTGCCGTGCAACTAGTGTACTAATATACTAATATACCTTCGCGACAGGAAGTATTTTCTGGATATTAAGTCAATGATAATTTTCACAACGCTACGATATAGTCGAAATAGATCTAACCTACACCTAACGTATTAAGATCGTAGCTGAAAATAAGTTAACAGTTAAGTCAATAGTGTCTTACAGAGAAGGCTGCTGAGTTGATGGCGTTTATTCGGTGGAAGCAGAGTGAAGTTTGCTACCACCGACCGCCGTATATGAATTTACCTATCTATTTGACACATCTTTATAATCACCTTTCAATGATAGGCCAATTGATCAATGATAACCAACAAATGTAACCGCTATAGGTTCGGAAATCTCTCCCGTCACGTTTATCGTGTCGACCATTTTGACTGATGTTCCTGATGTACAAAGCTAACACATAACATTTTCAAAACATTTTCAAAACATTTTCAAAAGGTTTCATTGTAGTTTTTCAAAAAACATTTTCGTCCAAACATTTTATTAACGTTTTAGAAATGTTTTACAACTATTCAAAATGTTATTGTAAGTGCGCATGCGCTTCGAACTGTTGCAGGGATTCATTTGCTTTCTCTAAGCGATTCGTGGCTTGCAACGCGCCCCTTGACTACCAGTTGTCGGATTTCCATTTTTGTTGAACCCTTGGTGGCTGAGGGGGTAGGACAATAACATTCCTGAAAGCCTGACAACTGCACCAGACACCAACCTACACAATACGTAATGATCGAAGTGAAAACTTCAGTGTGCATATGCGGAAAATATATTTAAGAATTGACCTTCACTTTTTGTGAGTTCATTGGAGTATGAACCTTCCTACAATGTTTGGCCCTCACTCTATGAATGTTCATACTCCAATGAACTCACACAAAGTGAAAGTCAGTTCTTTTATCTGTTTATACTAATTTCTTACCTCAAAGGATGTAGGCCAAGTTCTAAACACAATTTTATTTAGTACGTGTGACTTCATGTTTACACTAAAAGCCATACAACAACCAGCTACACCGCGGAATAAAATACTAGCAGTTCCTCAAAAAGAGAGGTGACATGAACGTATGGAAGCACAATTTCTCTTCAGAAACATCTTGCGCAACACGTGTGTTACCTCAGTAAGTCAGTCACAATGACAGCGCGTCGTAATACATTTACATTAAGTACAAGACGTCAAAATGGCCTAGACGCTAAACGTGACGCAAGAGCTCTCCGAAGTTGTTCATACACTTATGAACGTCAATTTAGCGGTCATGTGACCGACCCCTCGTCCAATGAAAAAGCCGTATATCGTGTAAACGTCAAATTAAAAAAATATTCCCTTATGTACTTGAACAATCATCAAATTCACATCAGCAATGAATGACTTTTACCCGTGTTGAATGCAGCAGAGCGTAACGTGTATTTATAGCGTATTCGAGAGGTCAGCTTGTGGCATATCATACAGGTTACACACAACCAAATGTTTTCCCATAGACTTCTATAGTAACGTTATATTTTTTTTTAAATAACTAAGCATTCAACAGCTATTACCTGTACTTGTGTGCACAGTTTGGCCTTAGAGCAGCAATAAAAAATAAAAAATGACTAGCTTAGCCAGCTCCTTTTCCGAGTACAGGAAGCTAAACACACCATCCCCAGTTTCGCACCAAATGTCACCTACTTGAAAATAGCTGTGGTCACATTCAGCATAAGTCATCATGTTGAAAAAGATAGTACTAAATATAGAAAAACATGGTCAGTTTTAATAACTGGATGGATGTACATTTGAAAGACATAAAAATCTTACAGAATATCCACCAATCACAGCCTGCAGATATCTCTCGATCTGCACTGAAGGCCGCGAACCGCGAAAACCGCACTGTCCAAACTGGTTCTGATTTGGTGTAGTAGAACCTGTAGTGCAGAAATACAGAGGGACGCTGTTGTACTTAGGTTGGCTAACACAACCAGGTGTTTCCCACGGCCTCGTAATGTTAATGTCACGGTTTGTTTGATACCAAGTTCTTTTCAAACATGATCTGTCGTAGTAATCCATTGTTAGTAATTGTCGCATTATGAAATGTGGCATTGAAATGAAGTTCACAATGCATAAAGGCCCTGGTGTAAACAACTATGAAAATACAGTAGTAGTAAAATGTTTATTAAAGTGTCACACGCACAACATTTACAATATAAAATCGATGCACATAAGACAAAAGATGTATGGAGTGCGTCCAACCAGACATTGGCTTATGAGACACTATATACAATATAAACAAATATATACATAATATATATCATGTGAGAACCCTCCCATGACACTAGGCAATTGGGAATTAGTCTGATTTGTGAAGGTGTTGCTTGTGTTTGGATAAACGCAAACCATTCGGACGGTGTTGAATGGACTGGTGGGGATTGGACGGAGTGCTGTGAAACTTGTGTGTTATGTGTTTCAACGTCACGTGTGTTATCTTTGGAGTTTGGGATTTGTCGGATGTTCTGTACTAACTTACTTAGCTGGTGTTCCTTGTCACCTGAGATGGACCTACTGTATGACCTGATGCTAGCTTCATTTCTGTGCTCTGTCCGCCGCTTCTCGGTCTGGAATGTATGGAGATGGTCGGCCAACTCAGAAACCGGAATAATAATCCAGTCTACGGATATTTGTCTCGTATCGGTAAAACAGGTGGGCAAGTTTGTTTTTATAATTTAATTTTCTTTCCTTACCTCTTAATTTCGTTTTTATTTAAAAGCTAGATTATTTTATTTGGCTTACCATTTTCAGAGCCCATTTAGTGTTTTTAATTGTAGATTTGCTGTGTCTTGGTTTCTCCAAATCTTGAAAGAAACAGTGTAAAGTTTACAGTATGAAATTATTTAAGAATTGACTTTTGTCGTAACTGCTTTCGGGTGTCAAGTGGGACACTACTACAGTTACTAAAAGTATTGCCGTTCCTGGTCATCATGGTCAGTTAAGCCATGACTTTGCAACTCGCTTTGTCAGCATCGGCTCAGCTCAGTCAAGGAGTGATTGGTCTAACGACCCTTACTCTGAATTGTCGCCATCAGCATTTATACTTGCATAATAAAGAAACGCAATACCAGCTTTACACTCACATTAGTTTTATTTACGCTCAGCCATCTATCAATACACGACAGGATCAGACTGGCCAGGCTCGTCACTGAATGGGGAATACTTAGAACGATCGGGATCGACTCGACCGACTGCAAACCGCGCTCTCCTCTCCTAATGTTGACGGTATCATTTAATAGTGTTCGGGCCTGGCCTGTGTTTGTCACACGTCGTCATAGATCATTTTAATTGGTTAAGAACAATATCAGACCATGAGCTCGTGTTTATGTCGTGATTGGAAAATTACCGGAACCTATTGACCGATTAACATATGTCTATTAATTAATTTGCGGCAACACCAACGAAGCTATCCTGAAATATTCTGCCACTGTAATCACCAAATTTGATTTCCTGCACTTCGGCTTTCTGTCTCCATCGTTTTTAAAGCTATAACCATCAATTTAAAGGTTGACTTTGATATAATTTTCTAAGGTTTTTGGGATGCATTTTTACGTTATAACACTTTCATGAGGGTTCATACTCCAATGAACTCACACAAAGTGAAAGTCAAGTCTTATATGCATACTGTGTATACCAGTACGTATCATTCAATGTTTGACTAGGTACATTATCTAGACGATCAACGGTTTATTGTGTGACAAACATGTATCATCTGTAGACACTTGGACACATGACCCTGGTCATCAGGGTATAACCGACGATACAAGGCCCCCCAGGGAAGGCACAGGGTAGATGTGAACAGAAGTTGGTTATCTCTCTCACATAGAATGGTTGACCGAACCTCTGTCTCCTGTATTCGTGTTTTGACTTATCATTTCATGTCATGTTAATTAACTACAATAAAGTTTTCATAATATATATGTTTGTGCCGCATCTCTTGTTTGTTTGTTGTTTAACGCCTCACTCCTAACACAACCATGATACCCGTATCAAATACTTCACCATCGAATAATCCTTTTTTTTTTTCTGTTTTAGTCACCATCACATATGGTGTAACTACACAAACCTTAATTTCGAAAAATAATCAAGGACTATAAATAATGACCTTAAGGATTTTATTTCCACAAGAACGTTTATACACATTTCACATTTACACAATAAGAACAATCTGGCCTTTAATGCGAGTAAATGAATACAGTACCCAGTTCAGGGTTAGACTTTGTGGCCATCGGACGTCGTAAACTTATGGCTCACCAACAATGTTAAAGAAATCAAGTTAGCACAATATATATGCGCAGAATAACAGTCAAAAGAATGCGCTCCCTGGTTTTATGCGCATGCCACTTCCGAACAATCGTTTTGCATCCAACGGAATATAAATACGTTTTCGAGATGAACAGATTAGAATATACATCAGTGGTACCTTGTGAGTACAACACACAACGCCCGGGGACCGGGTAACCCAGAGCTACTGTAATTGAAACCCTGTTAACATGAACTCCACCAACTCAAAATATCCACAAGTTGTCATGGTCCCAGTGGAATAAATATCACACTGTGCTCGCTTGGCTCAAACAACGGATAACTCGATTCATTCGATTATCCCAAGGCCCTGTTTCACAAAGCGGTCAACAACTAAGACGATCGTAACTTCAATACTTTACCATGGACTCACGACAGTCGTTCGCTAAGATCGAGTTGTGGAAGTCCGGGTTTCAAGTTAACTAGGTTTCTCTGATTAAGGATTCGGAACGGTGTCAGTCCATCTGTCTGAGCAATCTTCTGAGGATCTTCCCACTTGGGCTCTTGGGTATTTTCGTGATGAACGTAACTCCCCCGCGCAATCTCTTCGTCACAGAGACTTTACCTGCAACGGGAAATACGACTCTGAATATTACGAACTAAATGAGAACATGAAACAAAATGTCTTTCATCAGAAGCTTGTCTTCAAATGCCCGGGTCAATAGTAGCAGAATACAACGACCAAGAATACAATTAGCAAAAACACTTACTTGTAACATAGTCTTGAATCTCTTGTTCAGTCACCGCTGACCCAGGCTTTTTGACAATAAAAGCTTTCGGCAGCTCTCCCGTCTCTACATCCGGGACACCGATTACACCAACGTCAGCCACAGCAGGGTGACTCAGCAGAACATCCTCCAGCTCCGCAGGCGCCACCTGGTGACATAAATAAGCTTATGTAAAGAAAACCACGCCATTGGCATTCGGATCCACTCGGATTTTTCCGTTATATACACTGAACTCGGCAGAAGAGCCATTTTGACAAGTTCACCCAGAACCGCAAAGGGACCAACCTCTCTGTATAACGACAGCCTATAGATAAAAAACGACACAATTAAACCAATTCCATAATCATAAGAAAGCTTTGCCAAAAGCAGAGTTGATTCCGACGACATCACAAGCATATGTTCACGAATCCTCATCAAATAGTGATGATACCAGGTGTTCGAGAAAAGGCGAGCGCATTGCGCCCAACCGGTGGCACCCGTCAAAACACACGCAAAGGCAAGTCAATTGTTCACCTGAACAAACACGGGAACATATGGTACAAGCCAAAATTGTGAATGGCATCGGACATCATTTTTTTCACTGATGCACAAAATTTGGAAACTTCCTCCACATGTCTACCATAAAACATTTTGAAAGCTTTACAAAGGCCTTGAATTTTGTAACCCTGTCCTTTGACGCTCTTTGAAATTTTCTTGAAAAGACCGCCGTCACATAGCTTGAATATTGCCAACAAACCAACAAACTAATATGATGGTGTGAACATACCTGGTACCCCTTGTACTTGATGAGTTCTTTAAGACGATCCACAATAAATAGAATTCCCTCATCGTCAACATGGCCAATGTCACCTGTAGATACATAATACATGCAGGCAAAATGGCAGTACCAGCAGGTGTGGACCAGTTTGGACCCACGTGATCTGCAAACTTTAATAAACGAAGAAAACTATAAAGTCGAAGTCATTTTGAAAGTTATCCATTGTGTTCATATGCATCGGATTATATATTATAGTTTTAGGCTGAAATGTGCCAAATAGGGATGCTTTTAGACGTTTTAAGGAACATTTTTTCTGATGTAACATGTCGCATAGTATAGTTGTACATATGATCTAAGGTTCCTCTTGGGTCACAGACTTGTTCGAAGTTCGATTTTCTCGAAGTTCGAAACATCGGCCTTTATCACTCATTTAAAAAAAGCGAAGAAAGAAAGGTGGCTAGCTGTCAGCCATTTGAAGATGTCTGATAAGTTTCATACCACTATTTCCTACCTTTTCCTTAAAGAAGACAATTCGACACATATAGATTTAAATAACTTAGCAGTAATAACCTAGTATTGACCTAGATTAGAAATGGACACCGTAAAGAGGAGTTGCCTCCCTTTAACAATGTTCAATTATAACTAGCAGTATAACATAAATACAAAACAAAAAGTTATGTTTTATTGTTTTTATATCTATATCAATTATGTGTAGAAAATACAGCTACTTTTTAAAAAATGGGTTGCTGAAATTAAAAGGGTGTTCTGATGCCCAGTGGTACTTCAATGTATGTGCGGTCGGGTAGCCTAGTGGTTAAAGCGTTCGCTCGTCACGCCGAAGACCCGGGTTCGATTCCCGACATGGGTACAATGTGTGAAGCCCATTTCTGGTGACCCCCGCCGTGATATTGCTGGAATATTGCTAAAAGCGGCGTAAAACCATACTTGCTTGTTGCTCAATGTATGATTGGAGTTCCGTTACCAACCCGGAAGCTTGATGAACCTAACTTATTTTGATATAAACGTTTAAACGTCATGTTTAATGTGTGAACCCAAACCTAGAGTACTATCTAAATGGAAAATCGTTATCTGAAGTTGTTCCGCGAAACCGACAAAAGAATTCCAAACGACTTGCGGCAATAGACTCACCATCCTCTCACGGGTTTGTATATATGCGGTATTTAATCACCATTGAATACATAGAGCCAAATGCGGTGTAGTACGGACGCGTTTTTAGTCAAACAATGAAATAAGTCTGGGAAAAGCTCACGGAAGTGAAATGAACCCCACTCCGTACATGAAATATGCACCCGTGAAGATCCGGGTTAGAATAGGTCTACAGCAACCCATGATTAAGTAAGGAGAAGATATCTAGATGAACAACTTCTTAATGACGTTTCGTTATCAAGCAAGTGATGTCATCACGAACCTACACCGAAACGTCGCTCCTAATCGTAATAAAGAAGTTGTTCTTCCACATATCTTATCCTTTCTTTTTACTCCAAGTTCTAAATGTCTCTCAGAGAAGTAACCCACGCTTGCCATAAAAGGCGACTATGATTGTCGTAAGAGGCGACTAACGGGATCGGGTGGTCAGGCTCCCTGATTTGGTTGATGCATGTCATCGTATCCCAAATGCGTGAACTGATGCTCATGATGTCAATCACTGGATTCCCTGGTCCAGATTCTTCACAGCCCGCCATCATATAGCTGGAATATTGCTGAGTGCGGCGTTAAACAACAAACAAACAACATGAAATATGTGCGAACCCTGAAATAAACTAAATGTTCAGAGTAGATGTCCGCAAGGCTGTAGCACGGGTTAGACGCCGTCAATATTGCCGTCAGTGGGATGAAATCTGAACGCATATTGGTCAGAGCACTCACTGATTTCCCTCTCGCTGGAACAAGGCAAGGGCTTTATTGGTTGGTTAAAATAGCACTACACTGCAAAGCGGCCGTATGTATTCACGGGTGATGAAAGAAAGTTGAATTCCTGACGATGTAGACTCACCTGTTTTGACCCAACCGTCCTTATCAAAGATGGCGGCTGTAGCTGCAGGGTTCGACTTGTAACCTTTCATCACAGATGGGCTTCGCAGACAAACTTCACCATCGACATTCGTGGGGACAGTCTTGCCAGTTGTCACATCTACTATCTAGCAAAGAAAACAATAACGTCATTTTGTATTATGTTCTACCCAAGTCATAAAACCCTTGGCCGTGTGTGTGTGTGTGTGTGTGTGTGTGTGTGTGTGTGTGTAAAGCAGATTGGTCAATCATCATATATGCTCGAATTTAATTGTTCTTGTTTGAAGTATTGGGCGAGTGATAACAAAAAATGAACTAGAAGTATGAGGGCAACATTGATAAATGTAACTTTTTATATGTCATTGGGGACATGTATTGTCTCATATCAATATACGTTCATACAATAACAATTAAACAACTTGACAACCAGCCGTCACAACGGGGAATCTCCCCCTACCCGCCACGCTCCCGGTCAGAAGAAACTCAGATGACCATCGCTCAAGGCCCCGCGCTGACCACGTCATCCTCTGCTAGGACTTGACCTGTAAGGTAAGGTACCTGGAAGGTCGTACACGAGGAACAGTATCATACCTTACACTCGGCACAAGGCAGAATGTACCCCGCTGAGCCAAACTTGTGTTTTCCTCCATGCGAGATATGGGTCACCTGCACCTCCGTCATCCCATACACTGAAACAGCAGTACGTCCGTTCTTGTAATTTCTTTCTCGGCGAGAAAGGGAAAATATTACTTATTACCTGTACAAAATGAGTTCATCATAATGGTTTGAACCTTCTTAGATGAGACCACATCGTTTCTACACTTGAATTAAATGATTTCAACGATCAGTAATATTGTCCAATAACGACACTCTGTTTGTCTCGACCTACTGATAATTCAACATATATTCCAAGGTCACAGGACCTCGAGTTAACAGGGTTCATCTTTATTATCCGTTAGGCTGGCGCAATATAAGTACATCATCATCATCATCATCATCATCATCATCATCATTTTTAAAATTCTTTATATGCACGAGTGACACGTTGCAAAGCCTACCTTGTGTTATGAAGGTCAAATGAAACAACACCATGATCTTTGCCTCTATGTCTGTGCTCAGAGGCGCAGCTCCGCAGAGGATCCTTCGGACAGAGCTCAGGTCATACTCCGAGATGCTTGGGAGGTTGCTCATGACAACCATGACCGGCGGAACCACGTGCAGCACCGTTGCCTGGAGACAGCAGATATGAACAAGATGAAGCATCCCATCGTCGTTCAAGAATATCTACGCAATGTAATTATGACTTATCGTCACATTAATTGTGTTGCTTCTTTGAGATTATCTTTCAATCATTCTTTCAGTGTTGATTATCACGACTGCACTTTCGCTCTTCGTTCTATGAGTTAAATATGTTCATAAATGTAAATACCTCTAAAACAAAACAAAAAAAACAACAACAACACGCACACATGCAGACACAAAACAATCCACCGGTTTGTCTAGCCCAGACTTGATTATTTACAGGCCGCTGATTACATAATTTTGTAGGAGAGATATTACTGACCGCGGCAATGACAATGATGACACCAGGTGTTCGAGAATAATCATTGTCTTTCCAATAACATCTTTTGTGTCATGTAAAAAGTCTTTTAAAGCGTTTTCAGTGGTCCATTTATATAATTTCATAGTTAGTTTGCCCTTTACTCGAAACGGAATCTGTTTCGGCGATTAATCAAGACTGGTTATTTTCTTGTATTAACATTCTGTATTAACACAAGTACGCGTCAACACGTGTCTACTGCTACAGGAAAATCTGACAAGGTTTTCGTTCCTTGTCTTTTAAGTTTCTTATCCGAGATCGAACTTTGGAACGGCTCCCTCACAAGACATATCTGTGCATGTCCATCGCGTTGTCTGGGAACATTTATTTTAAACAATTAGTAAACTGGCCCGCTGCCCAACAATTTCCAAAACTTAGAAAATAAATTTATTTAAAAAATTAAGAACAAACTCCAAGTGAACAAACTCATTTCCACTCGAAAGTTATGAAATCACTGAAATACATTCCGATCCTACAGCTTTGGACAAAGCCGAAAACCAAAGGATGAACGAATCAATGTCGAAACAAGCATGTAAGAGGTATTTGTAGTACACAACAGGGCATCTTTATAGTGAGTGATCGGTTGGTTAAAGCGTTCGCCTCGTCACACCGATGGCCCGGGTTCGATTTCCTCAATCGGTTCCATACTTATCTCAATTTGACTATGCTTATTTAAAATATGTTTAGTTAAGGTACGTGGACAACGAAAGTTGTATGCTGGTAGCTTAATGTTGTTGACGTTGACAGTTGATAGTGATTCATTAACGCATGCTCATGATATAGTCGGAATCGTACAATCGACTTTTGACACAGATTTCTGAATTTGGTCGCTTTTATTTGATATTCTCCCCCAGGGGTTCCTATCCTCCAGCACCCTCCTCTCGCTGCATTATTCCGAATATTCACCTTATACTTCTGGATGTTGTTGAGGTACTCGTGGATGTCAAACTTGGACATTATGACGCTCCTAGCGCCGCTGTACAGGCCAGCCGAGATGACAGGACCGAGGCCGTAGATGTGGAAGAATGGCAGGAATATTACGTAGGAGTCATCTTTTGTCAGGTCACCTGTAGACCTGGGTAGGTGACAAAGGGTGGGTGAGTGAGTGAGTTGGGTTTAACGCTGCAGTATTTCAGATATATCACGGGGTGTCAGCTTCATGTGGAGGAAGTGACAAAGATCGTAGACTGGTGAACATATTAGCACGGGTATGGTTCTGACAAATAAAGGGTCATAATTAGAGCGAATGTTCGATTTAATCTCACGATCACTGGATCCTGGCACGTCTAAGGGACTCAACCGCTAAAAGCATCCCGTTTGACAAAACGTGTGGATGTCAACTCTGATGGCGTACATGGTAGCTGAAGTTACAAAATCCTTTGAGACTGTATATGTGGGTTTCATAACTCAGTGGTTAGTGTGAGCGTCTTTTTGTTTGTTTCTTCTTTAACGCCGCACTCAGCTATTTTCAAGCTGTATGACGGCGGTCTGTAAATAATCGACAATCCAGACATGCACCTGATCATGTTAGTCACCTCTTACGACAAGCATAGTCGCCTTTTACGGCAGGCATGGGTTGCTGAAGACCTAGTCTACCCTGGATCTTCACGGCTATAGTATGAGTAGGTCTGTCATCGTTTTTAGTAAAATATCTGCCATAACGAGTCTACGATTCAATCAGTACTATGTGGTTAAAGCGTTCGCTCAATGCCAAAGATCTAGGTACAATTCCCTTTATTGATACAATGTGTGAATCCTATTCTTAGTGAAATGACTAGGATTAGTGGCATAGAACGTTACTCATTTGATAGGTATAGTCTGTTTCCTAGTGCCATACCGAGATTATGACTGTATACTCTGTTTATCTTCAGAAATTCGGGAGAAAACAAACGCAATATTTATGTTATCGCTTTCGAATTAAAATGCAAATCAACTACATCAACAAATGAAACTGGTGGTCCGTGGAAAAGAACTTGTAACACAGTGATGCACTTACAGTATCTGTAATATATTCGAGACCATAGCATAGTGTGTCAACTGAACCCCTTTCGGTTTGCCCGTCGTTCCGCTTGAAAACAATATGGCGACGACGTCATTCTCCGGGTCAATGTCAGGGTCACTGATTGGTCCGTCAGAGATATCAGGGGCGATAAGCGAGGAGAAACTCGTGCATCCTTCTGCCTTTCCAAATACAATAATCTTCTGAAACGTTAGAAATTCATTATTTTTCTACGTTCGGTTTACGCCAAAGTACACAAATGTGTGAACAGATTAAAGAAGAATACAATAAAGCTGTAGCTGTCTTCGTTCATGTTTTCTTATACGTGTTATTCATAGAAACATGGAGTCAACATGCTTAGTCGAACATGCAACTGAACAGTCGATCAAAGATTATCAAATGTTGAATACAATTTTTATTTTAGAAAACACATATTTAAACTCTTACCGCTCTGAGTATTTTAACTCTTTATTAGAAACATAAAAAGAATTCAAAGTAGGTCAAAACTGGGAAGAAACTAACCGTTGATTCGTTTTTCTTTCGTTTCATTTTCGCTTAATACCTACAATAATACTGCGTGTGAAATTACAAATAAAAGACAAAAAAAACAAAACCTATGAAACATGCCATGCCTCATAGATGTTTATTGCTCCTGCAGGTAAATGGATGAAGATTATGATTTGCAATAGTATGCCGTCAGCGTATGATCATGTTTACTTTAATGGTACCATTGCATGAACATAAAACAAAAGTAAAATAATTATAATGCCTCACTCTTTGAAATGGGACTTATGGTTGGTTGACAGTCGATGCAAGTTTGATTCAAATTGTCTGTTACATCAAATCCAATGTTTCAGATTATTTTCGTGTCGTCATATATCACTGTGGGACGTCATCAATGGAATGTCGCTGCACGTTAGAAGTTTAGGGAAGTACTAAGTGCGCACATCTTTATACATTTGCTACAAAATACGAACACTAACAAATAGAAATAATGATGTTTTCTTATAGCTGAACCTTTTATCCATACTTTGTAAAATGGTAAAAAAACCCTGTTAGGACGGTTAAAGGTATCTCTAAAGCGATGTATGAATTTGGAACAGTAGATACCTAATTGCGCTCAGCTCAATAGAATGCACACTGACCTTTTTTTCAATTTGGAAATTAAATTTAAAAAATTAAATAAATATAGTGAAATACTCTGAAATAAGACCAGCGATTGTGATTACTATTACTTCCTTGAGACGATGCTAACATTTCCAGTATGACTAAAAGGAGGTACCAGATCAATGAGAACAACCTCCTTGAAAGGAAACAATTGGGAGATACAAAAGAAACGTGGCCAACATACGTCACAATGGAATTAACTTTCCGCACACGACACCAGTGTCATAACCACTAGTTTGTACTTATGCGCAGACAAAACCAGCGACGTTTACAATAGCACGGTTGATATAAGCCAGTTTTTGGTATTAAGCAGCTCTTGAAGAGGGAGTTGATGGCTATTTCTGATGGCACCAACCTTCAGGATATTCCCCGCAGCTGCCTTCACTGTTGGAAGCGAGGCTGGGAACGTCAGCACGAACTTACTCTTGCAGATCTCAATAGTGTCCTTGAGTTCGGCTGAAAGTATTTGAGATTTCAATATATCCATGCATGCGCTTGTTAACAATTATTTTAAAAAAATTAGAAGTTTGTTATAACTTACCAAAATGGAGTTAAGTGACGACCTGTCTACGACCTGATTCACGTTGGACATTCCCCCTTATTTACCATGATTCCGGTAGCCATGTCTTTTACCAAAATGTGATTGACCGTGGCTTTATATTTAAGCATATATGCCGTTGTATGACTGAAATGACGTTAAACCAAACTCACTCACTCACTCGCCCATTTGAATGAATCACTCACTTGCATTGTAAGTTGGGTTAGTGGCTTGTAATACCCCGCCAAGGGAGGCAACTGCGTAAAAGACGATAGGATACTCCATGACATTTTGGCTGAAGACACAGAGAACGTCGCCCTTCTTGAATCCGAGGGTGCGCAGCCCGCGGGCCAGACGACGCACTGTAGACGCGACCTGCTGATAGGACATAGTACGGCCGGTTGTGGCGTCCACCTGCAAACACATATATTCTGTATCAAATGGAGATTCATGGTAAGAATAGGTTCGCAGAAAACGATGTTTCTCGTTAGGGGCAACTCGTAATATCATTCATTGGTTTGTCTGATCCAGACTCGAGTATTTACAGGTCACATTCATATACAAGAAACTAGAATATTGTTGAAGGCAGCGTCAACAACAATCAAACAAACATTATTCTGTTCACATATCATAAATTAGAAATGCGCCGATTAATAAAAGACATAGTTCATTGCAATACACTACGTCAAGATATGGGTATCGTAGAATTCATTTTCATTTTGTTCATTTAAAACAAAAACCACATAATTTGCTCAGATAACATCCATCGTGTCTCAGATGTTACTACATAAGTGAGTGAGTTTGGTTTAATGTCATTTTGGACAGAATTTCACTCGTACAGCGACGTGCAAGCACTGAGATACCATGACGCAGTTGACATGAATACCCCACTCAGACACAGTGTACTGATTCCGAGGCGACCAGTCCTTGTTTTAGCCCTTAAGACCGAGCGTCAGGCAGGGTAACACGTGCCCTCTTTAACGTCTTTTTGTATGACGCTTCCTGTTGATCGAATCACCGACGTTCCGTTTTCCGAGCAAAAGACAATATTTAAAAATTAATAATAATTTATACAGGTTTAAATACCCACCATAGCTACTTTCTCCCCGTGCTGCTCACACATCTCCGTCATGAACGTCCCCAGCGACACACGGGGCAGGTACAACGTCTTTCCTTTCAAGGACATCATCTTGAATCGCTCAGGTGTAATTTAACGGAATAATATGTCTTAAAGTTGTAAAGAACTTTTCGTTACACTTCTTGATTGTCAGGCTTGGTTACTTGGCATAGTCCTATTCTGAAACCCGAGGAGGATATATGCAATATTGAATAACACTCTGTGACGAACGTGATGACGTGTGAAACATTCATCAAAACACATGTTCACTAACACGACATAAATCAAGTATTGTTGAAACACTCGTAGCTGACGTTTTACATTGAAGTCTTGTAGTATTCCTCCTGTACAGACTGAACTGAGTTCCAGTTGCATGTACATGTCGTATACGATGTTGGACATTTCCCAAACGTCGAGGAAGGAAGGAAGTACGCATGTTTTACTCAGACACATGTGGGCAAAACCTCAACCAGCGAGTAACCAGTCTCGATTATCCATCGAAACAGATCTCATTTGGAATAAAAGACACAAAAGGGAAAATCATATGAATGGATAACTGAAAAGTCAGTTATGACACCAGGTGTTCGCGGTAAGCATGTCCTGCCCGACCGGTAGAACCCGTCGCTCAAACAATTTGCATAAATTATTTACAAGTCCCAAGACAATGTTGAGGAAACGTGTGCACACATTTTTGCAAAAACAAACATACAGTGACACTTATACAAAGCGAACGGACAAAGGTGAACTCCGTTAACTTGGAGCCCGTGAAGCCAAATCCTCGGGACGATTACTGTTAGGAGCGTCTACATACATTACTCCTTAACATGAAATCGTTAATCCAGAAACTTGTTAATCCGGACGGTTTCGCTGTGGGCAATAACTTCCGGATTAAGTGGGGTTCACTGTACACCGCACAGATACATTCAACCTATATATTATGAATGTAATGGTAAATATAGCAAAACAACGTCACTCGGTCAATATTAAATCGCATACATGCATGCATCCCTTCTATCTCCCAAACAGCCCCTCAAACTCGATCCTTCTACCCCAGGCCCCACGCCGGAAACACCCCTCAATCCCCACCTCTACCACACATGATCATACGCCCCGTTAACCTGTACTGGACGTCAATAGACACAACACCATCACCGCAGTCAGAGAGGCATGCAATAAACGTTATTGCTATTGTAGTTAAATGGCAGTTTCAACGAACCGATGCACGAATGGTTATTGCTTTTTAAGACAGCTACGATATCAAAATGGTTAATTTGAGACCCGTTATTGTCAATTTCGACCAACTGTTTGCCTCTCTATATAATGCGTGTCAATTAGAGCGGTATATATTGATACAATATCGCACTTTTATTGAACATTCTGATTGTGGGGACAAAATAGAACGCAAAACGGATACAAAAATACAGTTTGGACACAAACAGAATTCCTTCATTATGTACATATTCAAAAACTCCGTGGCAAAATGTTGGTTGCATATTTACAATTCACACATTTTATTGGGAAAATGTCCCACTTGGTGTAGATTGTTATTCGAAATCATATACATGTAGATGTATATTATCCATAAATGCAAAACAAACCTTGACCATGTCCTGACGGTGTTTTTTCAGAAATGTGTATATTATTTCCTGTTAAATTTTATAGTGCAGCGATGTTTGAAAGATCTCAAATTTGGATCCCATGGGCTTCCGAGAGATGGAAACAAATGTTTTTCCTAGGACAAATGAAAAAAAAAAATTATATAAAATTTCCTTTGGAAGTTTAGTGTTATATGTGGTGTTATGGTGATATTTATGGTGACGTGTCTGTTCTCGGTTACACATTGAAAAATGTAGTGTGTGAACTACTGAAATAAAAACAAGTGCTGCAATTATCAATTCAAGAAAAAAAAGGCGGTGAAATCATATGTCCTTCTGTTCAGTTGTTAGCCATCTAGCACCTAAATGGTTTTATATGTGTTACAGTCAATGTGTAAAATTAGTCAACATGACTGAAATTTTACAATTATATTTCCATTCATTATATCACGGCAACGAATTCCAAACATGTGTACACTTTATTTCATCACGTAGGAACCAATAATGATAGGGTTAAAAGAAAACGAAAGTAAATGTATACTTTTGACATTTTGTAGCTTCTTATCCTAGCATAATTAGTATATTGTGATGTTTTTAAGCTCTTTTGAACTTCTTAATAACTTTTAGTCAATCTGAAGGAAAAATAATTGTAATCTGACTGAATTATTTCGGCGTTTGGTTAATGGCCTTAGTGAAAATTTCATTCATTTTACAGATAGACTGATTTTCCACAATAACTGTAACATATACGTGTATAATTATATTACATGAACTCAATTATCAATATGGTGTCTATGATGTTGTTAACGATCTAAAGACTACACAATGGAATTGTATAAGTATGTTATCTATGCTACGAGGGCAACTTATCGCGTAGCGCAAGTATTAATAAATACTTAAGCTTGTATTGCATCAGCCAGGTCTATGTCAGCAACAGGGTATTTGTGCACTGTTGATTGAATGCGCTTTCTAGCAAACTAACTATACTACATTCCTTCAGCTACGCAGTTTTTAAAATTAAAATAAGATTAATTTAATAATGAATATATTAATATGTGTGTATTCTTTTATAAACACAATTCAGAAAGTCTATATCGGTAACGAATTCTGACACTCAGTAAGTGAAAGGTAACCTGAGAAAAGGACCTCACTATTCCGAACACTCCGCATTCTGGACGATTAGTGAAAGGAATGTTAGAAATAAGGCCATTGCTCAGTAACAGAAATTCACATTCACACTGAACCGTCCGTTTAAGTGGAGTTTCACTGTATATGCGATAACATGAATAGGAGTACTCTATACTTATGACGAATTATTACGTTATATAATAATTACTAACAGCAAAAAAAGTGTTCTTAAGAGACGAGTCCAACTTTATGTGTCCACTCTGAGCGGACACAATAAAACACTTCAACAATAAAACACTTTAACAATAAAACAAATTTACACTTAATGCCGAACTTACCTAACATTAATACATTCGACAAGTTTGTTTATATGGTGATTGGGTTAAAAAGGAGGTAAACATTTCATAATACTAGACTAACCCATTTTGATGATATAGTTCAACACAGTTACACAACTGAACACAAATTGGCAAATTGAAATATACACCCTTTCTTTTCCAAAATGCTGTATCCGTGCTTGTCCCAAAGCTTCCGAAAAACACAAATCAAAGAAGGATTTATACTCCATTTACACGGATCGTACGGGGCATTATCATCTGCCACCACCTGTCGTTCGTTGTAAGGTTATAGAGAGTGTAAGCCATCATATTTTCGTCGCCTCATTTTGCTTCAACACTATTTGATAGTGATTCATAAACACATGCTTGTGATGTAGTCGGAGTCGTATGATGGCCTCTGCATTCAGCAGAGTTTCTTGTGGCTTTGGAAAGGGTTTTTCCACTTCTATTACAATGTTTCTTTCCATTATGGCGGAAATACAAGTCAGAACATACCAAAAGCGTTGATGAATTTATATCAAGTCCGGATATTATGAACCTTGACGCATCGAGTATATATATATCGAAGAGAGCTCCTATCCCCCAGGAATGTCGATAACAAATTCGGATGTTACGAATTAATTTAAGGGTCTCGCGAGTTGAATATGTCCGTGCTGTTTTGTAAGATCACATCTCACGTCTAAGATCATATCTACGATAATTGCAAGTGGTATTCGTAACTTAATAACAACAAACTATTAATAAAATAGAGACCTGCCAATCAAACATTGCCAGAATAGATGCAGTTCAGGGTTGACGATACCTGTCGGACTTATCAAGATATGAAATAAGTGTAAGTGAATCCGCGAAGGAGAAGATGCAGCTCGACATCGACACTAATAATGAACAGTCAATCTTATAAAACAAATAAGCATCCACTTTTACAGAATGTAATGACGTTAGAACACCAGGTGTGACAAGGGTAATATTTGTTTGAGGTGAAAAAGTGTTGAAGGTCGTGTTCAAGATTATTTCACTCTTCTGTCTACGAGCATGTACATGTGTTTGTTGCTGCTTGTAATAGTCCAGACTTATGACGGTTTCATAGTGCTAACATGCGAGATAGCATGCCCCAGTTTAACATGGATACCCCACTCAGACGCAGTATACTGATTCCAGGTCGACCAGTCTTTGTTTTAGTGATATTATTAAAATGTTTTATGGTAGACATGTGGACGACACTTCCAACATTGATAAATGATGTCCCGTGTTTAATCCCTATTTTGACTTGTATGTTCCCATGTTTTTCAAGTGAACAATTGACTTGCATTTGCATGTGTTTGTCCCACCGGTGGGACAGGATACGCTGACCTTTTCGCGAACACTTGGTATCACGACTATTTGATGGTGATTCATGGACGCATGTGGGTAGGCTTAGAGGAGGGTGTCTGGGGTTATGAGAGGGGTAGAGGCAGGGGTGGGGGTGGGTGTTAGGGTTGAGATGGGATATTTTCTAGGTCACTGATTCTCTTTTCTTCTGAAAAAGGAGGAGCCTAACAATTTCATTTTCACACAACATGTTGTTTTTTTCGGACGTAAGAGGAAATGTCCAGCGACCAATGTATGAGTGGAGTTAATATGTCAAAACTGTTGTTTTCAGAAACAAGATATAATAATCCCAACCCCAGAATAAAAAAGAGCCCTAATGAACAAAACTAGAACAACAAATGGAAGTGATTTTTTTATGGAGGAAAGTTTATAACTTTTACTTAAACATTGACTAAAATTACTCTCAAATCACGTCAAATGCAAACAGAGAAATATGAGCATCATTAAATATAAAGTAGACACGAAAATCACATTTGCAATCATGAACTTAAATTCAAACAGAAAATGCCTATTTACCTTTGAACTGCGTTTACATCCGACTGATATCTTCTTATTCTCCAGCTTCATCAGTGTCCCGATAAAATAGTCCCTGTTGTCACGTGACACATGACGTTTTCAATCACGTGACATGTCCGCTGTTAAATAGTTCAAAGCTGGTGCCAGTGATGGTACCATGTGTCTTCACAGAGTTTTGATTACACTTAAACTATGTGTCCCTCCTGCTTATAATGGCTGTGTTTCCATATGAAATTAGATGTTACATAAGGTTTGGCAATTAATGTTTGTTAACAGTTATTGCCAGTGTAATTGACTGTGTGTAAGTTCGTATTCAGGAGAATGGCCTCACTCAAATTACACTATTCAATGGGATTTTTGTAATGGTCACATACTGACAGTTCAGTACATTTAAGCGTTATGTGAAGTCACAAACGGAAGAGGCGACAAACGGGATCGGGTGGTCAAGCTCACTGACTTGCATTGGTTGGTTGACCATCGTATCCCAATTGCGGAGATCGATGCTAACGATGCCAGACACTGGTTTGTCTGGTCAAGACTCGATCATTTACAGACCGCCGTCATATAGCTGGAATATTGCTTAGTGCGGCGTTAAACAACAAACAAACAAACAATGTTAAGTTATTCATATCCATGACATATCACAGTATGAAGGACTGTTATTACATGATAATATATACACTGACCTAAAGTGCAGCTGACAGTGTTACGCCAACTATATACCTGATATATCACAGTATGGCGTAGTTTCTTTCAAGAAATAAGTTGTTGGGGGTTGTTTATCGTACAATAAATGGTATATCAACATAATGTACAGACTCTTTAAGGATAATGTTAATAATGATTACAAGATTTCCTCCCACATTAAGCTGACACACCGTGATATAACTGGAATACCGTTGAAAGCGGCATTAAACTCAACTCAATCACTCAAATATTAGCACTTCAATTTCTGTTGTCTATCCTACTTATCCGTCAAAACGCTCATTTAATATACACGACACGCAAATAATCAGTTTCTATTATCTGTCCAAACAGCTACCATTGAGCGTAAGGGGCACAAAAGTGAAAATTACATGACACCAGGTTTTCGCGAACACTATAATGTGATGTCATGATCATGAGTGAGTGAGTGAGTGAGTGAGTATGGTTTAACGCCGATTTTAGCAATATTTCAGCAATATCACGGCGGGAGACACCAGAAACGGGCTTCACACATTGTACCCATGTCGGGAATCGAACCCGAGTCTTCAGCCTGAGGTCATGATAAGGAGAAACATACAATCAAATCAAGGTAAAAACAATTAGAATATCGTGAACAATGGAATATCGGTCCTGGGCCCCATTACTATATATACACCAAAGAGACGCTTTAGCTTTCAGTTGCAGTATGACCGATGCAGCCAAGATCAACTGAAGGTCAAAACCCGGAACATACATGTTGACCTCTTCTGATAACCACAAAACCTTATTTACGGCAATCGAAGCAATCAGATATCGACACTGTATCACGTTAGTGTATATACTTGCCAGCATTTAAAGCGCAACAGTGCTGTTACGGCAATCACGAACCTAGCCCTGTAAGTGAAGTTAATTAAATCAACGATGATCAACATTGATTGATGCCCTGGATACTGGGAGTTCAAACACTGTATTGCCTTTAATCAAAGGACCTGGCGGCAAATCTCAATATTTAACCAAAACACGGCGACTTTGGACAAAGTTGTGCTGCACGTGCCCTATAAAATCATGTGGCAGCGTCCCATTACTCCACCTCAGAATAATGCCTCGCCATACGGAATCAGTGAGAAAGGTATCAGTTGAAGAATGCTAGAAAAGACAGCTCCGCATGGCGTTCTAAAGGTGCACCCATCCATCATTAGCCGTTTGCAGGAGCATATATATAATACCTCTCATAACTTGATTGTAGTCACTCCAGCTTGATAACGGTGTTAGAATCTGCACCGAAACGTCGCTAAATTCAAAAAACAAGAAGTTGTTATCCACAAAGTCATATACTTTCTTATATACTGCACCAACTTATAGAATGCCAATCAAACAGAGAGTGGAAGTGTCGGAGATCGCCCCTGTCCAGGTGCACATCGTGTGACGTCAAGTCAGACAGGGCCGGAACATCCGTCTTCAACACACTCTGAAATATTATGATGTTTTAAGCTGTGACTTGTGTATTTTGAAGTAAGTTATGTTTGATTATCAGAATTGCGTTTTCAATGATGGTTAATATATTATGTTATTAATTCATATTTACTTCACTGATTAATTATATTCACCGACATGCGTTATATGATATACCCAATTGAAAGAAATCCACATTTTGATTGTGCATTAACCGTCATAAACATTATGTCAATGCTGAACTATACAAGACATGAGGCCCCGTTTTACTAAGTATTATTTCCTATTTTATTAGAACAAAATTAACTTATTAATATCAAAAAATCGATTTTATGATATCATAGAATATATATCGATATCCCAAATTCAATTTTTAGACATCAGTAAATGAACGTATTTTGTTATATCTGATGATCACATATCAAATAATTAATTTATGTTTTGCAAGTGAATGCTATTGTGATTGCACATCTAATTTCAATATGTATTATGCATCTTCTTCATATTTGAATTAATGCCCAATGACCACTTTATCTAAACATGTTAAATTCGAAACATGATAAGAAACATGTTAAGGCGTTTAGATTGTGGAGATGTTTCGGCTGTGAGAATATAACTCATTTCGTGTGATTAGACCCTAAAAGTGTTCAGATGAAACACACCATACTTACGATTTAAACACATTCCTAAATCTGCTAACACCAAAAGATGTATATGTTTACATACCACGCCTCTGAAACTCTGATAGGCATCGTTAACAGTGACGTCATCCCGCCCATTATCTAGTGAAGAGTACATGTGTACATTGTTTTGCACTAAAGAAAATTTCGCGCTGTTGCACATTGCAAGTTTTAATGCCTTAATTTGTTGCACATTTTAGACCTTGTCACGTTGTCGTCCTGTGATAAAAAACAATTTATTTCTTCAACAATGCGACAAAAGGGTCGTTGTCGCTTTTCTCGCACTCCATACTAAATCCATTTGAAAAGAGTAAATATTTTGTAAATATATGTTAAACTATATTTATCAAGCATTTAAAGCAGAAGATAGTATTGTTAAGGATATCTGTTATAAGGAATTTTTGAACTAGTAAACCAACATTTGACACATTTCCGAGAATAACAAATAACGTTTGTCTGTCGTATTCTGCAATATGTGTACCGTGGCTGTCGAATCCAATCGTGAACTTACAAAATGTGACATGAAGTAATATCAGTTAATAATATTCTGTCTATTCTCACCTCAGTATCCACAAATCATACATTTAAAAACTCCTTCCCCAGAAATACTCCACTTATGCTAGGGGTGACAATCCTTTCTAACGCTATTGTGACAGCGACCTATTCATCACAACCTTTGTAGGAATTGTCTAGGCTACCATGTAGCATTGTCTAGAATAACCCAGTTGCCATTAATCCCCAGATGAACGTGTAATTGTTAACCCGCATCTCAGTTACTGTCAGTTACTTGCCGGTACAAATTGTTTCTACATGCCTTTCGCGGCAATCCATCGGTCGGTCCGCTTGAGTAACTGCCATTTATCAAAGGTAAGTTACTCTAATCCTAGTCAATCAGACGTCACGTTTGTTTAGAGTCTGCCTGTCCTGTCCTGTCATAACGTTACGATGTGCAGTCAGATGTTGTTTTCAGCCATGACAAATGAACCATAGTCTTCTTAACTTCTTTTGAGAAGTATATATTTAGATTTTAAGCTGATTTATTTAGAGCGTATTGCCATGATCTGCCACATTCATACAACTGAATAGGGCCATAAATCAATCAATTACATTTTACGCAAAAATCTGTGGATTGTTTTAAAATTAACTACGTCTGTACAGTTAAATTATGTTTTCAGTAAATAGTGAGAAAAATTCAACATTCCCTCCCAATTGGAGCAGATATCACATGCGGCCCCTACAGAGGTCAAGAGCGGATATTGCTTAACCGCGAGAAAGCGAAAAAGCGATAGAGCGAGAAAGCGATAAAGCGAGAGAGCGATAGAGCGAAAAAGCGAGAAAGCGAGAAAGCGATGTCCCCTCTCGGCCACCATAGCAGGGGTATACAGGCACAGCTATGGAAACTGATCCTCCGAGGCTAGTTGCCAACACTTGTGAATGCCTTAGCTGATAACTAATTTTCAGTATGGTAGACTTCTTTTCATAATGATAGCAATTATCCCAGTAGTTCCTCCAGATTCCCGATGGTTAATTCTGAATGCATCGCCGAATGAGAAGGGCGCCATGTTTGTTTGTAAACACTGAAAGTAGTCCCTGTTTGACCTTTGATATTTGCATCTCTTTCCGCATATCACCCTAACTACCCATTACATGATAAACAAAGATATGTACCTTCCTTGGAGCCATGCTTAGGAGTATTGTAATCTAACCTAAAATTGACTGATAGATTGTCTTTCCTCCAATATTGAAGATTACAATTTTAGGTATGTTACCATCAGGATTTACAACTTAGAAACAGATATACATGTTCAAGAGATATTGTCAGAGTAATAACATGCATCTTTCCACATGTTGAAGAGTAGATGATCAATATGTGCTGCGAGCGTAAAGGGCAATATAACATCGTCATCATTTGACCACATATTTACAAAAGCATGTACATCAATAGTATCGCATACAGTTTTGGTCGGTTTCACGGACAAGACGCTGGAGTTATGTGAAAGGGAGAGTGTATTATCACAGTGGGATGGGAACTTTGACAGTGGCAGTCGAGGGATTTTACTGGCGCCTCTGTCGAAACAAACGAGATGTAAATGTCTCCTCCTAATCTCCTAATCCCTCAGCTTGCCTGGTCATTTTGCCATGGGTGGGCGGTATACTCCCCAAACCCCTTCAGTGGAATCGGGTGGACACCTACCCTGCACAATCAGTCAGGCATCACTGTTAATCCCTTCAGGAAGTTGGGTTAGTGGGAATGAGTAGCACCATAG